TTCCTGGTCTTTTATAAATTAAGAAAATCTTCTGCTTCTTTATCAATTTGTGCTTCTTTAATGAAATAATCTTTAGCCAATTTGTAATATAACTTATATAATTCAATAATAGAATCAAGAATCTTTGGATCCCAACCATAAAATTCTTTATAATCATTTGTAATTTTATTATATTTGTCTTTATTAGGTAATATTGTCATTGCTATATTTAATACATACTTTTCTGGGTCTTCTGCCTGACACAGTTTCTTAATTCTTTCTTTATAGTTCTGCATGAACTTGCCATCTTTTGGCTTTCTATAATATAGACCAGCTTTGATTACATTAATTAAAGCCTGCTCAACTTCTTGATAAGTGGGCTTTGTTTCATCAATTATTTGAATTCGTGTGTTCATTGTATATGCATGCTGGTATTCCGTTTTTTGTATTAATATATCAGATTTTTTGTTTAAATTGAAATTTTCATATTTATATACCATGATAGGTGAATATACTTGTGATTATTTACTCAGAACTGGAGTTATTTGTGGACATACTTGTTGTCGGCCTGAAGGATGCCATGAACATTGGAAGGCTAGAAAGCGTTTTCCTTGCAAAGTTTGTAGTAAACCAACTAGCTCTAAACCTGGCCTTTGTAGAAAGCATGCTAATGGATATTATGTAACTCAGTATATTAATAGACTTCAGGAAAAGGCTCAGGAGCTTCTACTTTATAAAAATTAATATCACTATACTAGAATGACGATGCTAACACAAATTTATCGTCATTTGAGTGACGACACAAGTGCAGATTTATACTCTACTATAATAAAATGTTATCTTTTTTGATATAAATTTGAGTAAATGAATGTGTTCTAGCTATATAAAAATTTACACCAAGCTAAAGTATATAAAAGTGCTATAAAATATAGCAGGATGACGATTAAAGCAGTTTTTAACAATATGTCATATAGAGGTGTAAAAAAAGTGTCCCAGAACTCCCATTTTCACCCTACTCTTTTAGCCATCATTCAGTTGACTAAGAGTAGCACCAAATCCATAATAAGAGGCATCAGTAGCTAGAATAAATACTCTTTTGAAGTTTGGATATGCTAATATAGGAGCACTAATAAGGCAATGCTTCAGTCTGATAAAAAGCATCTTGTTGAGGTTCATTCTATTCATAGGGCTCATCTTTATATAAAAGCTGATTAAGAGGCTTTGCAATTAATGAAAAGTCTCTAATAAATTGTCTATAGTATCCAACTAGTCCTAAAA